GGAGGTTGCGGCTGAGAAAATCGAATTCTTGCGAGGAAGGGCACCAGTGGCAACTTGCCATCAGCCTGCTGACCGAACTATCCACCACCAGGGTGCATCGAACGGACACCGTGAACACAGCAGCGTCGGCCTGCGAGCGGGGACGCAAGTGGCAGCAAGCATTGCGTGTTTTTGATGATGCCTTCCGTGCTGGGGTGGCGCCCTCTCCGGTCTCGCTTGTGGTCCTGCTATCAGCTTGTGCAACAGGTAACTTTTGGGAGGCAGCACTCACCTGGCTGTCCCGAGCTTCAGACAAGGGAGACTTCGCAACCCAAACGGCCTGCCTCAATGCTGCCATCACCTGCTGTGCACGTGCGGTGCAGTGGGAGCATTCTGCAGCCATCCTCTTCAACCAGTCCAGTGTCAGCAAGGACATCATCAGCTACAGCTCTGCGATGGACGCTTGCCGCTGGGGCCGCGCCTGGCCAAGTGCCGCCAGCCTTTTGGCGACGTCAGCCGAGGCCAGGGTGGACCTGGGTGCGGTGGCGCACAGGTCAGTCGTGGAGTGCCTGGAACATGTGCAGAAGTGGGAGGGGATCGTGCGGATGCGGCTGGAAGCATCCGTGCTTGCGCGTGCCGCGCGTGCCGGCCATGCCTCCGACCCCGACAGCTGGTTCTGGATGTCCTGGTGGCTCCTCGAGAACTTGGAGCCACAACTTGGAGGACAAGGCCAGCTTTTCCGAAGCTTCCGCGCCTCCGTGGAGCAGTTCACATCGCTTACGTCGCCGCGCCTCCAGGCCTTCGAGTCTTTGGAAGAACTTGCTTCGCACCCTTCGTCACTTTCGTCGCTTCCCTGCGGCATCGCGCGCCATAGTGCAGAGGAGCTGGAGCTGGGCGGCGCGCTTTGTGGAATCCGTGTCGGGAACCCTGGGGAACAGCCCAGGCAGAGTGTTGTGCGGAGATCCTTTGAAACGGCGCCTAATTAGGGTGGGTCTACTGAGATGACTGAACGGCATTGGAATCTCCTACAATCGCGTGTGCAAGCAAGCCTATCACGCATGTGAAGAGTCACTGCGATGAGGGACGCTATGGTGCTTAAGTGCTAGGACATCTGTGTGTTCCGTGCTGTTTGGCTGGAGAGTCGCAGCGGAGAGGCTGACTGTGTGATGTGAGCATGTTTTGCAGCGCAAGGCAAACGGGGTTGAGCCTGATTACCTAGCTGAGGTGTTGTGCTCGGATTCTCGGATCCTGGCGGGGCAGGGGTTTATCTTTCGCCGTGTTGGGGCCGCGATGCTGAGATGCGAGAATTGTGAGGAATGGTTGCACCCGGTTTTGTAGGCCCCCCGCTCCCCAAACAAAGCTGGCACCCTCCCTCGAGAGATTTGCCCCGGACCCCCGAAACAAATGTCGAAGGGGAGCCTTCAAGGCCTAGAAGTTTTCCTGCCTTTTTTTTGGAACCAGCAAAGGGAGAACGGAGCCTCAGACTTCTGCTGACTCAATCCCAAGACATTCACTCCCAAAAAACTTATGATGATTAGCACGAGTACCTCCAACAAACTGAGTTCGCAGACCACCTTCGGGAAAACTTTGTTACTGTAGCGGGTAGACAGAGACGAGGCCGAGTCAAAAAGAAGAGGGGCAAATAAGTGACCTCGAATTGTCCAGAGTGGCACTTGAAACCCAAACCCCAAACCCCAAACCCCAAACCCCAACCCCCAACCCCAAACCCCAAACCCTAAACCCTAAACCCCAAACCCCAAACCCTAAACCCTAAACCCTAACCCCAAGAGACCCTTCCGTGGAAGTGCAGGAGCTGCGAAGTCTGCTTTCTGCCTTGGCGGCCCCTGGGCGCCCGACCGAGGCTGCCTCGATAAATACCGCCTTCTTGGGCTACTGGGTTTTGGAGTACGATATACTTCAATACGTTTATTTTGGTTTTGAAGGGTTTAATGAAAGTGTTCGTAGGGTTCAGTTCGAGTGTTTTGGGGTTTGATTTTAGGGCTTTTTAGGGGTTAGTTTCAGGGTTTGTAAGGTTCATGGAGTTTTCGGGGTTTGAAGGCGTACGCCCAAGCCGTGTTCTCATTTTGCTGCCCTGGGAGTTGTTGTGTTTCACCGTCAACTGTTCTTCTCGTCCCCTGGGCCCGCCTTCCTCACACTATTTCTGGAGTTCCCAACCCAGATAATCTGGAGCCCTCACAGAGAAGCCAAGAGCGCCCCTACAGCAGATAGGCCAACCACACATCTCGGAGAGTACCCTGGAGTCCGGATCCCATATGGGGGTTTTAGGGTTTAGGGTTTAAGATATTAGGGGTACCTTATTGGGGTCCCTAAAAGGGAATCCTACTATTTGGGGGTCGATTTTAGGGGTCCCCTATTTTAGATTCTGTGGCCCAACATCTGGCGAACATCCGGAGAGAATGTTAAACTGAGCCCACAGCTACTAAGCCTACTCTTAAGCCAAAACTCGTGCACATCTCTGAATTCTAAGCTCTTCCCAGTTGACCAGCCTTGTTTTAGCTGCGTCCGAGTCAGGTGGCTGGGGCACCTCTCCCGTGTGCCGAGCCCTTGCTACTTGGGAGTTGTCAAGCAAAGGGCCCCTTTTTATAAGTCTAGTAAAAGAAAGGGCCACCCTCAAAGTTTGATTTCGGAAAGTTCCATAAACCAAGCTGTCTACATCAAAAGGGTGCGTGTTGTTTTTGGTGGGGGACCTGCATCCATGTGGTGCTTAGAAGGCCTCGACCACAGCGATGCTTGTTGTCCACCGACGTTGCTTCTTTACCTTGGGTTCTGGACTTCCATTGCAGGAGCTAGCGCGCCCGATTCACAAGCCCCAGCGTGCAAAATTCCGGTCCTGAGTGGTGCCATGCGTCTGCTCGAGGCCGACGTTTGCATTGGGCGCCGCCGTCGAGGCGTCGGCTTCTTGTGCGTTTCCAGAAAACCTTTAATTATCATGGATGTCTGTTTCAAGCGTTCTTTTCGAAACCCCCAAAGGTTTGAAGAACAACGAACCCCTCTTATTTAAATCAGAAGGTTCCAACTGCAGCATGCAGACGCTCTCGCAAACAAGTCTGGCTCTGACGAAGCCTCTGTTCTTGCTTTGAAACGTATTTTGGCAGTGGCTTCGATGCTGTTGTCATCGTATCAGCGCCTGGGTCCGAGAATCTCGGTGATTGCGGTGCTGTCAGGCACGATGGCGTGGAGGTCCACAGTGGTTCCAAGGCCGGGAACATTCTCTGGTACCATGCATGTGAAGCGCCTTCAGGGTTCTGGGTTGTGCGGAACCTGCAAGTGTCAAACTATGCCGGGGTGGCCTCGCAAACAGCGTAAGACAGCTTCAAGAGCACTCCACGAGCACGACCAAAACCGACGATGGTTCTGGACTTCAGGAGGAGCATGCGTACCATGGACGAAGCGAACCATCCAAGAGCCACCGGGAACCACGAAAATACGTCCCTGCGCGACGGAGAGCGGTGGTCTCAAAGAGTGCACGGGACGTGGGAGCCTTCGACCACAATCCTTAAGTCCCCGGACGTCGCAAGGAGAACCAAGAACGAACTGTCAGCCTGCAAAAGCCATTCGGCGGCAAGTCCTACTGTGTCCTTCCCTCTCCATGAGGCTGGATTGTGGGCCACAATCCGAATGGCACTGCGGTGGTGAGATACAACGACGGCGGGCCACCCAGACTCCCGGAAGAGGAGCTAAACCCTAAACCCTAAACCCTAAACCCTAAACCCTAAACCCTAAACCAGCTAAGCGGGTGGCAAAAAAAAAGCCCTAAACCCTAAACCCTAAACCCTAAACCCTAAACCCTAAACCTAAACCCTAAATCCTAAACCCTAAACCCTAAACCCGAAACCCTAAACCCTAAACCTAAACCCTCTCTACCATATTTAGACCTTAATTGAATTTCCGAATTTGGCCGCTTTGTTTTCCGAGTTTGGGCCGCTTTGTTTTCCGAATCTGGCCGCTTTATTTTCCGAGTTTGGCCACTTTATTTTCCGAGTTTGGCCGCTTAACTTTCCAACTTTGGCCGCTTTGTGCTTTCTCAATTTGGCCGCTTTGTTTTCCGAATTTGGCAGTTTTTTTGCTTCAAAGTTATGGGATTCTCTGGGTGGGTGTTATATCAGAGCCGTAAATAAAGCTTTACCATAAAAACTGCTCGATCCGGAGTGCTGAACCCTAAACCCTAAACCCTAAACCCTAAACCCTTAAACCCTAAACCCTAAACCCTAAACCCTAAACCCTAAACTCTAAACTCTAAACCCTAAACCCTAAACCCTAAGCCCTAAACCCTAAACCCTAAACCCTAAACCCTAAACCTTAAACCCTAAACCCTAAACCCTAAACCTTAAACCCCAAACCCTAAACCCTAAACCCTAAACTGAGTGAGCCCGGGGCCGTCGAGCAATGCGAACACGCCGAAGCCGGCAGGCGAGGCAGCTCCGGAGCCAGAAGCCCTCCGGCGGGCGACAGCTGCGGGCTGCGCGGGGGACCCGGCAGGTCGCTGGCGAGAAGCCCGTCAGGTCGTACCGTGTGTACCCTCCTGACTGGGTTGGGACGCTTTGGGGTTTTGTTCGGTGTATACTGTTAGCCATCCTGCTTCGAGGGACGGCCGACCTCAGACTACGCCCCCGGACCCACTTTACCAATGTCTGATGGGTGTATACTGATATCTAGTCTGCTTTGATGTGGGAGCTGGAGGGCCCGTTGTCCAGCCCGAATACGGGCTTGGCACCATCGCTTGCTCCTGTCGCCGCGCCACGCTTTATTACTAATTTGTGGGGTTGACGTTGTGGGCGGTGGCAGTGCACCATGCTGAAGCCGCTTCCAATGCGTTGTGGCACGACAAGATGACATCTGGAGCCTTGCCTGCGCGTGCGCTAGTGTGAGAGTCGAAACCCTGAACCCTAAACCTAAACCCTAAACCCTAAACCCCAAGCCCTAAACCCTAAACCCTAACCCGAAATCCTAAACCCTCAGCCCTGAATGCCAACCTGCCCGCAGACCCTAAGCTGCCCTACGCCTTCAACTCGCCCTGGCACTCCCCCACTCCTACTTGGAGGTTCATGGGTATAGTTCATAAGTCAGGTTATAAGTACCCGGAATAGGGTTATAAGTGTAGTTACCATCATTATCACAAATTATCACCCTACGTCTACCTGCCCATGAACCTCCAAATAAGGCCAGCTGGAAGATGTGCCGTTGGCCAGTCTCCGGGGCGCTTCGGGGGCGTCCTACGTCGTGCCCGTGCCGCGGGGGGCCCAGGCTGTATTATGATGCTGCCCTTCGCTTAAGGGTTCATGGGCATTGGTGAGAACAAGAAGGGTTTAGGGTTTAGGGTTTAGGATTTAGGCTTTAGGGTTTAGGGTTTAGGGTAGCACTATTAATTAATGATACAGAAGCCTGGAGCAGAACACAATGAGAAGACCGCTTTGAAGGTCCCAAACGTCATCGGTAGAACAGCATTGCGTTCGCGCCGTCACACGCTCCAGAAACAAGTTGGACCAATTGTTCCCCTTCTTGGTACGTCATACTAGACACTGGTGCTTAAACCCTGCTCAAGCTACAAGCGTGCATGGCCTAGCAGACGTTTCCGAAAAAAGTGGGGCCCCAAATCTGCGCACTTGCTAGAATGTGTTTGAAGTCTTAGAACCATGCGAACGTACTGGAGCTTGAAAGAGACACGAGTCATCAGGAGGCCTTTCGGAAACCTCTTGCGCATCCATTTTCTCTCTGGCCATATGGCGTTTGAGGTGCCCATGTCCCTCACCAACGGCCAATCCCTCGGGTATCCTGTGGCGTCTCAAAGAGCTCCCAGGGACGAGGAGATTGCCATTGGCGTCGGCAAGCCTTTCAGGGTGCACAGCGGGGATGAGGTAAAGAGGCGATACAGCTTCTACACCAAGTCCTCGGAGGTACTTCCACAGATAGAAGAAGGCGGATCCAGTCTTGAGGTCGCTTCTTCTGCTTCTGATGGTACGGCGGAGTGGCCACCAGCACAGTCGGCTTGGTCGCCGAGTGCTTTCAACAGAGCTAGAGAGGAGATGCCCGAGATTCTCTTCCCGACCAAACTCAAGGAACCACGGCAGACTGCCAGCGCGCAAGGAGGGCGGGGGCATTCCGCAAACCCTGACCTTGGCCACCATCCTGCTGTGGCAGTCCTCCGACATGGTGAGAGGCAGGACTCGGTCTTCGGCTCCGCCTGGCATGGCACGGAGGATTTCAAGCGGTACCCTTTCGATTGTCCAATCAGCGACCATGCGGTCTTGGAGGCACAGCAGGCGGCCCATAAGCTCCGCGGTTTTGCTGATTTCGACGTTATCGTCTCGTCGCCGTACTTACGCTGTGTGCAAACTGCCATTGCCTTGGCCGATGCGTTGGATGTCATGGTGCTCTTGGACTACGAGCTTGGGGAAGTCTTCGGCCCACCGGTCTTTGGGGATTTGGGTCCAATCCAGACCGGCCGAGCCTGGCGATCCCGGCGGGAGCTTCATGCTGCACTGCAGGACTGGAGCCCTGAGCTTCTCCTCGGCTTTTCGAAGCTCCCGGTTGAGCGAGTGCATTGGGAGAAGGTCATGGGGCGCCCACCCACCTGGGGCGAAAAGTTGAAAGACGCCCATCATCGTTATGCCAAAAGGTTTCTGACGTACCTCAGTCGTGGCCGACGTTCAGGCAAAAGCATGATTCTCGTCAGTCACGGCATTATGGTGCAGACCTGCCTCAAAGTACTCCCTAGCACTTCGGCCTTGAGTGTGGCATCCATCCCTTTCTGTGCTGGACTGATGGCGGGCCTTCGTCGCTTCTCGATTCAGCAGATCGTGGCCGAGGCCACCAACAATGCCCACCCTGTTGACCTGACGGAGGTCAATTCGCAGAGCCATGAACCTGCGGAGAAATGGCCCGAGAGGAATAGCCCGAAGAAGTCAGCAAATCGCCATGTTGAAGAAGCACAGCTTCACACATGGGATGTTCAGGCGCTTGGCGTGCAGTTTGCCACCCCGAGTGCATGCACGACGGCATCAGCGAAGCATCAGGATGTGCTCGCGAGGCTGAAGGCTGGCAGCTTCTCCTGGGCCCAGCTCCAGCTTCTGCTCGGGCAGCTGCCGACGGAGCTGCCGCCTCAAGCCTTCCAAAGTACTGGCCCTGCTGAGCTTAGCGACTCTGCTACACAGGTCTCCATGGAGTTCTTCAAGTGCCCATCTCAGGGCTGGACGAGGCAGGACAGCGAGAAGCAGCTCAATGCCACCGTCATGGAAACACCGGTTCCACAACTGAGCCTTGAGGGCAGCCGTCTCCTGGGAAGGAGGCTCAGCCGATGATGTTCTTTGGCAAGGTTTGCCTAGACCCGCGAACAGCTGGCCTCGTTGGCACAGATTTCGGCATTTGCCATCAGCGTGCGCGTGGGCCGGAGCTGCCGGGGAAGGGGATGTGCCGCTTGCAGCCCACTTGTATCGGCAAAAGCGGGAACCTGCCGTAGCATGCAAGGCAGTGTTTCGATCATTGGTTTCACCTGACGGTTCTGAAATCTCACGTGACTCCATGTTCTTCGGCTTCGTTTTCGGCATGTGTTTCAGAGAGTTAGACTGACTAATATGCCGGATGCTGAGACGTGAGCAAGGATCACGGATGGACCGAGCAAACTGATGTGGGGTAGCGCGCGGCGCTTTGCGTGAATGGCTCCAGGTCAGGCACCAATTCCTCTTGCGAAGGAGTGATTTGTATTCGTCTTCAGCTTCAGCTCATGAAATGGACAGTGCTCATTTCAGCTCATTTCTATGATTGACCTCTGCGAGCCCACAGTTTCTTGATGCCTCGGGGCCGTGGCGTATTTCACTGGATGTTGCACATCATGGAACATCAGGTAGGCAACACTTAGTGGTCAGATACTTGCGAAAACTTGGAGCTTTATGTCTAGGGCCTCGCAATCCGTAATGGTGCGTGGCCTAGGGTGGGAGACGCCCCCTGAAGCTTTGCGTGTCAACCCGTGCGGGATCTAGGCACGAGATAGCCCGAAGTGCATCTCAGCAATGCCACTTCGACGACTCCCATCTGCGAGCAAGTCCAAGAACAGCCCTTTCTAGCAACTGCTGGTAAAGCCCATCGGTTCCTATGGCAGCTTGAGATGGAGTCGTTGTCGCAACTTTGCAGCGTGTTGTTTTGTATATTATGCACGTTGGAGCAGGCACGGGCTTGATGCAGGGTTTCATCTCAAGAGAGAACTTCATTTTAAGCGGACTACAGTTTATGTTGTGATTGAGCTTTGGCAGTGTCTGTACCGGATTCAACGGTCTCCTGATGATGCCCTGTAGAGGAGCTGGTCCTGATTCTCCCAGCTTTATGAGGGTGTAGATGCATATGGCTTCCGACTTCTTGCCTTGAAGCCTCGCCTGCATCTGCCACCTGCTGCAAGTCTAAGAGCTCAAAACTGCCCAAAAGTGCTCAAAACCACCCCGAAGCTCCCTGAAGGTAGATCCTGAAAGCCTGAGCCCTAGACTCTGGACCTACAAGTAAGACTCTGGACCTACAAGTAATGCGTTCAGATCGGTGGCACCATCTTTGCCGGCCACGCTGATTGCCGACGCTGTTCCTTGCTTGCACGAGGGCGGTGCCTCTGAGGGTTCGGCCCCCTTGAAGCCTTTGTCCCCCGAACCCCCAGAAGTTCTCGCACCACCCGGCCACTCAGCCAGAGCATGCATGTTGCACAGCAGTGCCCATCTGTATGCCCCCCTGTCTACACCTCCCCTAAACCTGCTTGGCGGGTGGCAAAAAACCCTAAAGCCTAAACCCGAAACCCTAAATCCTAAGCCCTAAACCCTAAACCCTAAACCCTAATGACATCAGGGCGCTGCGCTGCCAGCTTGCCAGCTGAAGTGTGTGCCTCTTGGGCTGTCTCTGGAACCTGAGTATAATCCCCTCCTGCTCATAATGAAACCCCCCCCCCACCCCTTACCCCCTAATATCAAATACCCCCAGTATAGTTACATTATTATAGCATAGCGGGTTCAAAAAAGAGGGGTTTTAACATTTCAGGGGGGTAGGGGGGGGGGGGGGGTTTAAATAGGGGATTTTTTTTGCTTTGTTGGACAGAGGGTGCTTGCAGATTGTCGGGCTTGGAGAGCTGCCTGCCCAGCAAACGGGCTGTCGGAAGCACCCAAAACTCCCTTGAGCCCTCAACCTTGCATGCTCCTCCTTAAACCAACAGTCCTTAATAGGGATCAGAGTACCCCCTATTCGAATCCCGATCAAGGACTGTTAGTAGAAGCGGGAACATCCCAACTCCCAACCCTCAAGCGTTGAGGTATGCCGAGGGGGTTGCCTTGAGCGCGCTGCCGGAAGTGCGAACGTCTCAGTGGTTGCCCAGGAAGGTCATTGCATACACCATGGGGGTCGTCGGTAGGCTGTTGTGGTACCGGTTCCTTGCAGCCCACAAAAGATTTGCCCGCCTTCATGCCAATGTTCAAGCAGTACAACGTTTACAGGTATTGGACCCCTTACCGAGGCAGGGGGTTGTCATGAAAATGAGCAGTGCAATTTTGGTGGTAGGCTAATTCAGCTTTCAGTTGAGCCGCGTAACCTACGCGTTCATGCCTCTCTTCCTGACTCCAGATTCACAACTTGGAATGACCAAAATGACGGCATCATGCAGCGAACCTAATTGCTTCTCGACGAGTTCTGATCTGCTTGTGATTTTTGATTCATTTGCAACACCCGCATGCCATGCAACACTCATGCAACAGCACGTCGACCACCCCTTCTTTGAACGCACAAACCGTTCTCGTTCCAAATTCAGCGAGCAACAGACTTCGGTGCGCTTTACCCAAAACATCCAAATCAGTCAAGTAGGCCCTATCGGTGTCCCAGAATGTGGAGCTCGGCCCTGAGCATGGTCTGTTCTCTGCTGAGCCGTTCAGGCCTTGATATCTGAGAACGCGCGAACCCTATATAGTCCTTAATGGTGTGCCGCCACCACCAGATGTCGGAGGTCATCGAAGGGAGGACATGAATGAGCGGAGCTTCGGAAAGAGGAGAGAGCTCCCAACCCTCCTTCCATTAACACGCCACGGATTCGCAGCCAAATCCCTGCAATGCGGACGCACAGTTCAGCTAGGCGGTCCAAAAGCGCCCAAAAGCACCCAAAAGCCCGAATGAAGCCCAGCAACCAACTCTTGCTACTTCACCGTCACGCGCCCAGACCTCAAAGTTCCCCCTCCCACCTCCCAGCCCTCAATCGTCCCAAGCGCCAAAGTTTCGCGGCCCAGGCACCGCGCGCTTGTGGCCCAGGGCAGAGAGCTGACGGTGGGGCGCGGCGTGCAGCCCCCGACCTTCTGGGACGCGCTGGTCCCCGAGTGCCCTGGGCAGACGGTTTGCAAAGGGCACCGGGCTTGAGATCTAGGCAGTCTAGCTTTGACTCTAGGGTTGAGGGTGTGCAGATGGTCGGTGAGGTGGAGCCTTTGACCAGGCCGAGGCCGAGTACCGATTTCACTCTTCATGCTTTACACTGCCTAAGGAAAGAGTTGCAGACCAGGCAGGGTCTGAGCCGAGCAAAGCCGCAAAGCAAAGCAAAGCGGATCTTATTCGGGCCGATGCTGCAGAGTCCAGGTCGTAATTTGAACTGTGCGCTGTCCTGCTTTGGGATGCTGGGTAGATTAACGATGCCCAACTCAGTGCTGGCTAGAGCATGTACTGAAGCCTGGCGTTTGTGAGTCATCCAACCACGCCCGCTACTCCCACCAGACATGCACAGGGTGTCGCGAAAGCACTTCACGATCTCCTGCCGCATGCTGCCCCTGGCGGATGGGCGTAGCCACCCAGTTGCGCGGCCGAGTCTCCAGAGCCAGGGCTTAGGGTTTAGGGTTTAGGGTTTAGGATTTAGGGTTTAGGGTTTAGAGTTTAGGGTTTAGGGTTCCCTTAGGGTCCCCTTAGGGTTGGGCTCCACTAGGGTTCCCTTGGTGTTCCCTTGGCGTTGTTTAGGGTTCCCTCAAGGTTTTCATAGGGTTCTCGTAGGGTTCCCAGAGGGCATTCCGCGCAAAGTGATGAGCAACTGCATCTCCCGAGGCTGCATTTAGGAATTTGCATGTCCTATGCAGTGTGCCAGTAAGTGGCATAGCTCTCTGCATGGTGCCAAGGCTATGTTCGTGTGCTTCAGCAGCAATGATTGGTACCCCGTTCTTGTCCCTGCCTTCGTTTGGGGGGCACTTTCCTTTTTTTCAACCCCATGCGATGCTCGGGCCAGTTTGTGCGTGGAACAGCCCAAACACCCTGAATCCTGGCCCGTATGCTTTGCTTGGCAGTATCCGGTGACCCCACAGCTCGAAACCATAAACCGCCCCTCTGTAAGCGGCAAGAAGAAGACCTCCACATCTTTCAACACTCAACCCCCCCGAAACCCAAGCTCTGAACCTTACTGGTAGACTCTTTAACCGTAGACGCCTCAACCCCGCAACCCCAAGCCTTTGAAACCCAGCTCTCTGATCCCTCTAAGCCCCAAAAAGGCCCTTCAATCTCAAACACTGAGAGCCCTCCGACTGAACCCCAAAGTCCAAACTCTGAAGTTTCCGAGGCGCTGTCTCTCCCGCAACGGGCTCCTGGTTGGCGGGAGCTACGTGGGCGCGGACGCCGAGCAGCGGACGCTTATACAAGAAAGAGGGCGCGACTGGGGCTAGGGTGTGCCGGAAAGGCTTCAGCCTCTTCTGTTTTGTGTTTTGGGCTTCTAACCCGCAGGGCGAGTTTTCAGGACTTCATACTTGAGGCCGGAGTTTTGGCCCGCGAAACTCTGACCGAGTAATTGCTCTTCCGACTTTAACCACGAGAGTTCCACATGGAAGGGCTCACTGTTGAGGGCCCTACATAATCCCTTAGAACATATATAGGGGGATATAGGGTACCTCGTTCCCTCATTCCCCTACTAACCAACAGTAAGAGGGTGCAAGATGCAGTGGTGCCGTGTCCACGCAAGGATTGAGCATGGCACCGAAATCGGGCTCGGCATCGCTGCGGCGCCTACGCCCGATGACTCTCAGCCAGTCCCCGGCCTGATTCTGCAGTGGAGGGAGGTTCATGGTACTTATTAACCAATTATGTCTGTACTTATAAGTGGGTCATAAGTACAGTTTTGATTGGTTAATAATAAGTACCATGAACCTCCAAGTGGAGGGAATTTGGGGCAGAACGGCTTTGGGCGAGAGGTTGTGGAGATAACGGTGCTTCGGAGGTTCGGGGCAGGGGCCTCGTAGGCCGAGACGCCTCGTTAGGCGAGCATGGTGTCTGTGGCCACGGCTGCCGCGTGGCGTCCCCCGGCGATGAAGTCCTTTGTGGTCTTCGAACTGGAGGCGGGTGCAAGCACAGTTCCGCTGTCAGGATGCCGATTTGCGCCAGAGCTGTCTGCGTGATACACCGGCACGAAACAGGTACAGGAGCCTCAGACACAGAGGGTGGAGCCAAAGACGGTGGTGCCAGTTGTGCCTTGACAGAGAAGGTCCTGGGGAGCGAAGGAAGCAGATTTATGGATGCTCGATTCTCTTGGGAGAGTGTTCTCTCATGTCGAAAGTTGCAGTGTGCAGCGATTCCTTGCTACGAGCCTCCAGAGACATCCAGAGCTGCAACCCTAAACCCTAAACCCGAAACCCTAAACCCGAAACCCTAAACCCTAAAGCCTAAAGCCTACAGCCTAAAGCCTAAAGCCTAAGGCCTAAAGCCTAAAGCCTAAAGCCTAAGCCCTAAAGCCTAAAGCCTACACCTTTTAAAACCTAAACCCTAAACCGGAAGGCTCAACAAGCCGTCGTGATAGACCGGGCCACGCCCGTGGCGCTGCCGCGCCCCACCTCTGTAGCGCCCAGCTGCTCGGGCTGAAGCACGATTTAGGCGCCCAAAAAGGGGCTCAGCCCTGCAAAACCGCCACGAGTTGCGTGCCCTCAGTGTGTGCAAAGTTGGGGGGCCCGCAACATGGTATGCTAAGGTTCAGGAGGCCCTGCAACTGGAACGGCAGCGTCGCTGTGCCCTTCCTCTCAACTGGAGTCCATGGTGGCACCGCCCGAGCTGCGCGGATGCATGTTGCCCTTATTTGCTGCCGGTAGAAGGCACACGCGGTGAAGTTCTGGAAGCAGCTGGCTTGGTTGTGATTTCCTGCTTGATGATGGGCTTTTCCTGAGGTGCTTTGTGCTACAGAAGGCGACCTGGCACGAATGGATGCGACTAGAGTTGTGAACAAACCATGTGCACGCTGGCATGCTGCTCAATTTCTGGAGCAGTCTGTTTTCAAGTTGCCAAAGGGATTTGTAGTTTGCAGTTGGATTGGGTGGCGGTGGATGCTTCGCCATGACCGTGACCACTCTGAAACGTGAGCTGGGCAGAGTCGCATGATTTGGGCACGGGATAAGGACAGCCAGATTTGCCAGTCGCATCTTGATTGCAGAAGATGCTTTTGATTAGCTCCTTAAACTTAACAACCTCCGAAAAAATCGCCCCGAATGGCCGATGAGGCCACTCGTCAAGTTCTTCAAGTCCCAAATGGGCTCCTGAGCACGTTTTAGTACCTAGGCTGTGTAGACTGCACAGCTTGGGCTTTTAAGTTGTAGCAGATGCAATGCGGAATAGGGTTTAGGTTTTGTTCATTCTGCCACGCCAGCTGACATCAAGAACGTGGGTTCAAAAAAAAGTTTATGTGTGCCTTGTCGGTGACGTTGCCATGTACATGTTTCTGGCCTCAGCCGCTGAAGAATTAGAGTGAGCCGCCTGTGGCATGCACCAGAACCAAAAGATTCCCCCAGCTGCAGCAACCCCTGAAAAAAAACATCTTCTGCTCAATAGCCTGGGCTAGAGGTGAGGGTTTGAAGGCCATAGGAGTTTCAGGTGGAAGCTTGAGAGTGCCCATGTCTCGTTCCCAAATCTTGAGGCTGTTGTTTAAAGCTTCGGACCTTTCATCTTGGCAAAAAAGATGAAAGCGGCGGCTGCGCGGCGGGACTCGGATGGTCTGAGCACAGGCTGTGGCAGGCTTGTGGCTCACCCGTAGATGATAATGCTGCGCTTGTGGCTGAAAGGGCCGCCCAATTACAGCAATTACGCAGTTTGGCACCTGACTGGAGTCACCAGGCAGCCCCTTCAGAAACAGAACGTCCGTGGGCAAAGCCCATATGCACTGCCTAGGCCCCTAGGTCCTCGACACTGCCAGCACTCTACCTAACAACTTGAAAAGGCGTGAGGTGCTTCGATGTGAGGAGGACCTCGGTCGCCTCTTTGAAAGAGCCTGCAGGCTTCAATTCAAATTGACCCTTCGGCTCTTGTGGCTGCATGAAAATAAGCTCTGACTTCTTGAGTTTCCTCGCTGCTAGGCCGACAGGAAATGAATCGTTACGCTTGAACACGAAGCTAAGCGTAGCACAAGCTCGACTTTTCAAAAAGCAGAGCCAAGAACCAGACGCGCGTCAGCAACCAGCACGAATCCGAAATTGCGATCCCGAAGCCAACGCGAATCGGAAGCTGCGAATCAGAAACCACGTATCATCAAGCTGGCCCAACAATATGTCCGTGCTGCCAATCCACCATAGCGCCTATACGGTCCAGAGCATATCCAGATAAATAACACCCACGCGACCAGCCACGTCACCACCAAGCTGCCAGAGAGCGACCGTTGGCCCGAACACGCACAGGCACAGCGATGTGTGTTTGAGCGAAAGACATGTTTTCAAGTGAAAAATAGCGGTGAGCTTGGGAAAACTTTGTTTTGCTAAGAACAGCGTCTTTAGCTTAACTTAATAGTATGGCTTTGGAGAGTTGCTTATGCTTTCAACTCTTTTCTTGATCTACCCAAGAGATCCCTCAGATCAAGAACTTCTGTGTTTAATGCACCGTTAAACATAACAGCAACAGCTTCCGGTCGATCTTAAATATAAATGAACAGCATTACAATCTGCCGGGAGGCCAGTAGGATGCTGCGGTCTCACCACTTTGGAATGACAAGATAGACCTGCTGCGGCCCCAAAATCCCGGCTAGGCATTTTTTCTTTGTGACAGTGCAAAATCACTTTTCTGTAGCTTCGAGGCAAATCCGTGAGATTTTTCGGCACATTCATGATTCGATGGCCCGACTTGTTGAGCCCGTGAGGATTTACACTGCGCGGAAAAGGGTGCTGGGATCGGCTGGGCCCAACCCTGAAGCCCACATGCCCCGCACCCTCGACCTACAACCCCGAAACTCTCTGAGCCGGCCGTTCTTTTTTCGGCTCAGAGCTCCTTGCCCGCCTCAGATCGGACCTCCAGTTCGTCAGAAGGGGGTGCAAGTGAAGCCATGGCTTCCATGGTCTCGAAAGAGCCGCCTGGGACCGCACCGGTGGAGTCTTCGGGGGTGTAAAGCAGGGGTTGTAAAGTTGAGGTGGCAGATTGAATGTTTTTGGAGGGGTTTTTCTCGCCGTAGAACATCTCAAAGACTGCGCAAGAAATCTGGTCTCAGTTCTCCAAGCCTACGGGCGTTGCGCTGAAGACGGCCGCGTGCTTTACCGGGCTGCGAGAGACAGAGGGAGCACTTCGGGGCCTACCTCACGTTTAGATGCCAAACGTGCCTTGTGTCGTCTTTCTTGGAGACCCTCAGAATGCTCATCTCAAACACTGCATCCACTGCATACGATATAGGTATTTCCCAAAGTAGGGGTACCCCTTTTCTACCCCAAGTAGTATAGAATCCCCTGAAGGAACCCCCAACAAAGGGTACCACTATTTCTGGAAGCCCAGGAAGCCGACCTACGAGTCAGTCATGGCTTGCTTCCGGAAGCACCAGGCAGCAGCGCCATGCTGCAAGGAGAGTGCGTTGCTTCAGGGGTCGGAATAATACGTAATGGTATTCCCTTATGGTCCCTTTATAAAGAGACTGTAATAGCTCCCCAAACCCCAGATTCTAATTATTAAGGCCCCTATATTCGACCTGAAGACGTTGGAGTGGCAGGTAAGTCCTTGCACAAGCAGTGCTATGGGATGTGCAAAAATTGTTAGATGGGCAGAGCTGCGGTGAGTGCATGCTGGACAGATAGATGAGTCGACATCCACAGATATATGAGGCGACATTTCCCCTTCAGTACTTGCGCACCGAGCTGTTAGGGTCTCCTGAACCCCTCTGCTTTGAACCTCAGTAGAGCTGGATTAAAAACTTGGGAGATTGGCATGTGTAGTGAGAGAATCCGTCAGAAGAGGCTGCTTCAACAAAAAGAGTTTCGTAAACGGTTTCTCAGGAGCAGCTGTGCCCCAACGTGTTTGTTTGTCTCCCGACAGGATGTCCCCCCCTAAACTAACAGTCCTTACTAGGGAGTATAGTACCCCCAATGATAATAACTCTTAGTATAAGGGGGAACATCCCAAAGTATGAGGTCCAAAGCTCAGTTCAAGAACCGCCCTAAGGGCGACAACGTGCTGGACTGGGCCGTCTTCTGTGACGTGCTGCAGAGCTTGGACCCCGAGTTCTGCACCTCGGCTTGCGAGCGTTTAAGGTCATGAGTTCATGTTGGCCAGTTTTTTTGACCTTGGATTCTGGGTTTTTTTGGGTCAGCAGTTTTGATGGGGGAGTTGTCTGGCAGATTCTGGCAGCCCAAAGCTCTAGGCTAGCAGGCGAGGCTCGGCACAGTTGATCCCTCGGTGGCGAAGTGGAAGTGGCGTAGGGGTGGGTTCCGAGTCTCCGAGTGCATGTCTGAGCCCCTTACGAAGTTTACGAAGTCTGCGAGTCGGAAAGTGCCAGACAGGAGTACCGATGCGACCGCCGTAGCATCCCCAAATCCGCGTCTGAAAGCTTGGGGGCGCCCCTAAACCCCTCAAAAACCCTTCAACCATCAGAACCCCGACTCGCAGGCACGGATGCTTTACTCAAAGACCTACACTCCCGCTTCTTCGATGCGCACGGGGAAGCCAAGCCTCCGGATGGCATCGACAATCGAGCCATGCCGGTCTCAGTGGAGGTGCGCAGGAATTGCCAGGTAGGTCGGCACCTAGGGAACGCACAACCTTCCGGAACCCCCTCACAAACAATACACAGGCAGGATCTCGCTCAGAACCATTAAGATGAGATGTGTTCCTAGTTCCTGCAGATTGCACCGCATTTCCGGGATCTGAAAGGGAAAAGGCAGGATTATAGACTCATGGACCCCCTGCATGGCAGCCCAAGCATGCCGCGCGCGCGCAGGATGTGGTGATGTGGATCTTCGACACTCAAGAAGGAGCTGTTGAGCATCTCCGAACCTTCGAACTTATTTTCCTAAAGCCGGAAGCCTCGATGAAACTCCCTGAGAACGCCTTCAAAGGCTTATGCCAGAGAAACTACCCAACAAACACCCTGGGGGGGGGGGGGGGGCAGTCACCTGCCAGCTCCGAGTGTGAAAGGCCCTGTTGCTGCTGTTGCTCCCGATGCCCCCGAAGTGCCCGGAGTGCGGAATGTGTGAAGTATTTCAGTACTATTGATATGCTCTGGTATTATTAAGATAATCATTGCAATAATAGTAATAATACTTATAATTATGATTATTATATTTATTATTATTACTATTCTTATTATTATTATTGTTATTATTATTATTATTTATTACTATTATTCTTATTACTATTATTATTGTTAGTATTTCGATAAGTGCCTCGGGAGGCATTGAGGCACTCACTCGTCCTGCATGTCATGCATGGCTTACTTGTCTAGCTCCAGAGGAGCTGTGCCCTGCATCAAGCGGTCCATCTCTCTCAAGAAGCAGAGCCCCGGCAGCACCGGTGGGGCGGAGGGATTCGGATGCGGAGGGGAGCTGCCCGGAGCCCAAAGGCCGAAGAGCCAGGCAGCCGAGAGGAATATGGGAGTCAGGCTTCTCAACGTGATTCAAGGATTATGCGACTTTTTTGTTTGCGGCACACTTGCGAGCTTCGCGCTGTGGTTTGTCGGTCTTGCTCGTTGGCAATGAGAACTGGCCCTGCGTCTTGCGGGCATCCAGCAGATACCGCAGTGGCAAGAAACAAACTCGTCGACACCATTACATCATTCAGGCTGCAAGACGTAAAACTTCGAGGAAAAAAGGAATGGCGAAAGAAAGAGAACAAATGTCCTGCAACAGACTCTTGAAACGGCATCCTGATATACATACGACTGTTTAAGCAAGATCAGCTGCCAGAAGCAGGCCCTGAACCATCGTACTCAGACGTGCACAAGCACCCGAAACGTGAAAGCAGCAGCCTAAACCCCTCAACCCCTCACCACCCTCGCCGTCCTGGCCGCTCTCGCTGTTCTCACTGCCATCAGCAGTTGCCTCTACCCCCCCTTCTCCCCACCTTCCCCACCCTTTGGCCTTTAGCACCCTCCCGCAGTTGCCTCCGACCCCGCACCCCACCCTGCATTGTTCGTTCTCACGGCCTTGCATGTCCTGCGCTGCGCCAAAGAAGCAGCTGTACAGACCTCGCCCTCGCGAGGGAGGTCTTAAGGTTTGGGACCACGAACCAGGTCGAAGCCGAAGCCAGTAGGGCCAAAAGTCCAAGTCCCCTTTCCGGTTCTTACGACAGAATCGGTGGGCCCAGGCCCAGCCCAAAATAAGAACCCAAGCTCTCCGGACCGGGTTTCCCATAATTGCTATATGGTTACTTGTCGTTCGGCGGAGTCTTGATGGGACACGTGACCAATGGCAGCTCGCCGGGCAAGTTGGGTCGAGGGCTTCTGCGGGCTTGGGCTTCAGGCACATTCTCCAAGCGGAGCACAAAGGGCACTATTGCAGGGGCCGGATCGCGAGAAGTGAGTTGTCTCGGGCCCGGGGTCAGCGACTCTCTGTGTCGGGGCGAGTTGATGGAACACAGTGCTCCGGTACTCGCGGGGGTCCGACAATGGCGCTCGGCTGCAGCTCCAGATTTTCAAGCACCTCTTTGCGAAGCGCAGTTGGGGCACATGCAGCAAGGCCTTTCATGTAGGCGTCGCCCTCTGCACGACGTCGTTCTGTGCGCACGTGCCTCCTCAAGTACGTACACCACAGGAGCAGACAGTATGTGTGATGAATATCTAGCTGCGTCCAGCAGAGTCTGATTTTTGCACACCCTTGAACTCTGTTGCTTAGGAAGACGGGTGAACTTGAAGAACCAGGTGAAGGAGAATGCGAAGCACTTCGGGTTAGAACAGCGGCTGGCTCCGTGGTGCTTTCCGTTCAGAAGAAGGACAGGCCTCCGAGTTCCCTGTGTGCGCATGAGAGTGCTAGCCTGGAGGGTTTGGGCATAGAGTTGACAGGGTTCCGGAGCCAGAAGGTACTCGGGATTTCGGGCAGCGATTATTGGAAGTCAACGGGTGGCTAGAACTTGGCTGTGCGTAGGCTGGCGGCAGTTCGAAGTGGCAACAAAAAATCTTGCTGAGGGAAGCTGCAGGCTGAGGGAGGGTTTAGGGTTTCGGGTCGTGTCTACCTTCTTGTGGCATCTCAGACCGGCAGTTGATCCCTACACAGCAACGGGCATGAGGCCAAGAGCATTTCGGTGTGGGGTTGCATATGATCTGCACATCTGAACCCGCCGGAACCGCAGAACCTTGACAAGACGGTGGAGCAGCTGCGGAAGGACACCCCGGCGCGTGCCGCTGCATTCATTGGGGCATGTCAAGTCAAGGGGAGACCCATCCCGTAGACTTCGGGCACCCTGAAGGACGTGGCTGAGGTGTTCCACCGCTGCATTGATGAAGTCAAGTTCGTGATCGACCAGCGGCAGCTGGAGGCTCGATCTCGGGATCTGGGGGAGGTTTCACGCATACGGCTTTATATTGTGCCATCCATGGCAGGATGACGAGAACTGCCGGTCGCTGGTGCCTGGCGAGGACCTGCCACGAAGACCAGTGGCACACACGGTAGGATGAGCCAGTCGGTTGGTGCAGGAGTGTAAGCTCTACCAGCCTAACAAAGATGCACGTCTGAAGAGCATAGCTTCGAATGCGCAGAGACAGGAATGAGGGGGTGCCTTTCAAGCTCGTGGAACGCCCATCACCCTCCCAGCAAACACCTGGCAGACGCCCTCCTTCTCTGTGAGGACGTCGTGGAAGTCCTGGTGGTAACCCAACAGATCCCGCAATTCGATGAGAGTCTGCCGGCGGTGGAACAGCTAGGTACGCTGATCCTCGGCCGGGTTTGCCTTTGCTGGGTGGCAGGCGTCGTGCGAAGCAACACATTCAACCATGCGGTGCATCGTAGACCATGGCTCGGCATGCTCCTTTGCCTTGGTAGGGCTAGCGGCTACAGTACCAAGATTCTGTGACAAAATCGACATGTCGGCCATCCCCCGACCCCAAACCCAAAGCTCGTGTAAGGAAAGCAATGCTGCAGTGGCGGCCTTGGAGTGCACTTGCATTGCGCACCTGCAGTTGCAGCACTTTTTTGGAGCACGCAGCCTGCCCCCAAAAACCCTGACTCGAGTTTGCCAATCAAGAAGCTCTGCGGAGCGACGGCTAATTAGGTGGGTGGCAAAGAACCTACAGTTGATGCACATGTGACGAGCCGTCTTAAGGGATCGGCTCTCAAAGTAGTCTGTTCTACATGAGGGTCCACCTAAGAGATCCGGTTGCAAAGAGGTACCTGTTCTACATGAGAGCCTTACTTCAGAACGATGCCCATGTCGAGGTCATCCTCCATGGAGTACCAAATTGATGCAGCCACTCATCTTCGGAAGATCCTGAGCGTTGAGCGAGACCCGCCGCGCCCGGGCAGCGAAGGAGTTTTCAGGGATGCCTTCGTTGCTGGGTTCTTGTTCAGGAACTAACGGAGCTGGCCCAAGGGTAGCGATAACTGGGCATGTAGCAGTAAAAGCAGTGCAGTGCTCCAAGCGGGGTTGCAATTCCTTGAGACACCCTACTTGTAAAAGTATCCATGGGCCTTCAAGCAGTGGTGCCGGTCTGGGGGTATGCAACAACTGCGCCTACCGAGTCTTCCGCAACCTCACTGTTCCGCCATGCCCCAAACCAGCATCAGCACATAAACCAGCTCCTCCAAGTGCTTCCTTCACATGTCCCTGCGGAGTAATTAGGCTTTCTTGGGGTGCAGTGCGGGTGGAGAAAAGTGCTTCCTTCGACCAGCACTTGAATCCTCGCCATCCTCTGGAAATCCTCAACCCTAACAGTCCGCACATCCCCAAGAATGCTTTCTGTTTTTTTGCTCCGCCTAAGGATCGACAAGGTGCTCACGCTCGGCGTCGCACCGCGTCTTTTGGAACTCAGTCAGCAGATGGATGCACCGAGCCTCGGCGCGCTCGGGTTGGAGATTCATAGGGTTGTATTGGGGCACGTTTTTTTTTTTTTTTTATTTATTTTTTTTTTTTAAATACTGATTTTTGTGATTATTGGGCTTACATCTAGGGGGGGTACCAGGGGGTGTTGCGAGGAAGCCGGGGAATCGAGCGGAGGCCTCTGAAGGGCTTGTGGATGCTTATGGTTTAGGACCGTGAGCCGAGGGCGTAGGGTTTGCTGCGGGGTGCAGGGTTTTGGAGTTGACATATAGGGTTTCGGTCTAGGGTTTGTGCAAGGCAAAGGGTTGAGGGTGTGGCGCAGTATGCCGTGGGACTGCTGCTTGAAGCCCAGGAAGTTGCAGTTCGAGACTCTCTGGGCCATCCTGAACATTGTCTCTGGGGACGTGCACCAAACACAGGTGTCCTTTCACGATGCTACACCTGCGTGATGTCCGAGAAAACCTCCCCTCAATCCTGAAACCGCTGCTCCAAGTGGAAGAGGCCATCGTCGACCTCGATGCCGTGCCGATCATTACGACTTTGCTGAGGGACTGCACCAACGCCGATGCCGCGCGGCACGAGAAGCCCTTAGGGGCCAGCCCTAGAAGCTTTAAACATCTTAAAAGGATTCTACTTGCACCCCGAAATAACAAAAAAGAAGAGCTGGACCCCCAAGCGTGAGCCTCTTGGCCCAGGTGCTGGAGCAGGGTGTGTGGGCGTTGGGGAACATTGCAGGCCCGGCCCGGGGTGCTTTCGAAGCTGAGGCCCAGGTCCGGAGCGCATTCTTGAAAAAAAAGCAAATCCTAATATTTAGCTTTCAACCTTCAACCCTCGTGTAGGCATTGTTTATGAGCCCTTAGAAAGGCCCGAAAGGGACACAAGTTCAGACCTACCTTGCAGATTCTGAACTTGGCATGTAGCCCAGGCATGGTCCGGCAAGGTCACGAGAGGCGGAGAGGAATTCTAAAGCTAGACCGTGCCCGGAAGAAGGCGTCAGCTCTCCCCCGCCTGGAACCTCACTGACTCAACCCGAAGCCCTGGCCCCCAAGTCCCCGAATCCCTAAACTCCTAGACTCGCATCAGCACAAAATTTGGGTCTTGGCGGCCTGCCTCATGGCTTACCGTTAGCAGGGAATGCGGGAACGGAGTACCATGTATAATTCGGTACCTTATTCCCCCCATTCCCTACTAACCAACAGTAAGATGAAGGTGACTCGGTGCAACACCGGGACCTGTGCATCGAAATTCGGCAGCAGCTTGTGGTGGAGGGGGGGGGTGGGTGGGGTTCTAAATTAGGGTCCCTTTCTTGGGGGGTCCTTTGTAAGGGGGTATTCTACAAGCGAAGCATACGCAGACACTAATGTTGAACAAGCTCCAAGTCTTACAAGTTTATGCGAGGTTCCACTTTCTGACAATCATCCAGAGATAAGCAGCACTTAGCACTGTTGCCAAAGCTCGGCTTCCTGGATTGTAGATGCGGGAGGCCCGAAATTTCAGCCATGCTCCAGATTGTTAGCATGTCTTGGCGTAGAATTGGAGGGCTCCCGTAAAGCCTTTGCAGGCCCGTCGCCCGAAATCCCGCAGGGACCTTAAGCGCTTGCTCGCTCAGTCCAGCGGCTCCCTGACGGAAGCTCCTCGGCAGCATTCCTGGGTTAGAGGGCTCAGAATTAGCTTATCACGCCTGGCCCTTCACGCGAAACCCACTATGAAACTCAAGCAGGGTGAGGGGGGAATGCGCATAAGGGCTGCCGGTGTAACGCCTTGCAAAGCCCCGAACCCTCCAGTGGCACAGCAATGGGAAGCGTTTTGGTGCCGAGGTCTTGAAGGTCCTGGAGAACACCACCAAGCCGCTCAGTGATCAGCTGGAGGGCCGTCAGGCAGTCAGATAGTTCACTTGAATATAGAGGGCTAGCTGTCTCAAACTTCAAGGTCATGTAGCTGATGCTAAAGCACTGTGCAGTTTCTAAGCGGGTTTGCAACGCCTGAGATGCTGGTAGTTCTCCAGCTTGAGCCCACACTGCCTTTCGAGACCCTAAACCCTAACACCCTAAAACCGTAAACCCTAAACCCTATCACCCTAACACCCAAACCTTAAGGACCAGCTGCATCCGGAATGCCACATGGACGGTCTCCAACTTCTGCCGCGGCACCCCCAAGCCGAATTTGGAGGTCCCAGCTGTCAGCCGAGCAGCCCGAAGAACTAGACCCCCAAGAAGCTCTGAACCCTCAGCGGTTTCTGTTCTGAGAGTCGATGTGAGAGAGAGAGAGAGAGAGAGAGTGTGTGTGTGTTGTCCATGTCTGTCTGTGTCTGTCTGTGTCTGTCTGTGTCTGTCTGTGTCTGTCTGTGTCTGTCTGTGTCTGTCTGTGTCTGTCTGTGTCTGTCTGTGTCTGTCTGTGTCTGTCTGTGTCTGTCTGTGTCTGTCTGTGTCTGTCTGCGTGGTCTGGGTGGTCGGTGTGGTCTGTGTGATCTGTGTGGTTTGTGTGGTCTGTGTGTCTGTGTGGTCTGTGTGGTCTGTGTGGTCCGTGTGGTGCGTGTGGTGTGTGTGGTGCGTGCGGTCCGTGCGGTCTGTGTGGTCTCTCTGTGTGGTCTCTCTGTGTGGTCTCTCTGTGTGGTCTCTCTGTGTGGTCTCTCTGTGTGTGTGTGTGTGTGTGTGTGTGTGTGTGTGTGTGTGTGTCTGTCTCTGTGTGTGTGTGTGTGTGTGTGTCTGTCTCTGTCTCTGTCTCTGTCTCTGTCTCTGTCTCTGTCTCTGTGTGTGTGTGTGTCTCTCTCTCTCTCTCTCTGTCTGTGTGTGTGTGTGTGTCTCTGTCAGTCCGTGTGTCTGTGTGTCTGTGTGTCTGTGTGTCTGTGTGTCTGTGTGTCTGTGTGTCTGTGTGTCTGTGTGTCTGTGTGTCTGTGTGTCTGCGTGTCTGCGTCTCTGCGTCTCTGTGTCTCTGTGTCTCTGTGTCTCTGTGTCTCTGTGTCTCCGTGTCTCCGTGTCTCCGTGTCTCCGTGTCTCCGTGTCTCCGTGTCTCCGTGTCTCCGTGTCTCCGTGTCTCCGTGTCTTGCAGTTTGGGGCGTTTGGGGCTTGCAGACTGAGGGCCTCCTTTTCCTATCCTTTTGAAACCACTATGCCTTAGCTCAGGGTGGCATCCTGATTGCAAGCACAACTGTTGTGATCTGTTGTGAATTCAGTCATGTCGTCAAGAACATGTTGGCGTTGTGCGGCCGTGCCCGCTGCGATGACTTCAGCGTCTCAGGGACCTGTCTGCAATTGTTCCGCTTCAAATCGCGACGCGCGAATGGCACGACGTGTCGCTAAGTTCTCTCCCGGAGCTTGGAGTGTACGGTTGAAAATCTGCAATGTGGTGAGCTTCTCTGCTGCAGGATATGCTTCCAGCCCTACCTGTCATGTCGAGGGTGCTGTATTCGAAAGACGAGGCCCTGCTTGTTCCAGACCCTGCATAAGGGTCCAGGGTTTAGGGTTTAGGGTTTAAGAATCCTGTTCCGAGTTGCTTCTGCAGCATGCCTCCGCAAGTCCGGCGTAACCTGCCAGGAAGTTCTCACAGACGCCTTGTGGACGGTGTCCTATGTCTCGGATGGCACAGACAGATATATCCAGGCCGTTTTAGCCGCCTGGCACTGCCAAGTTAAAGCACAGCGGGCCCCGAAACGGTTGTGTTGGGAGTCAGCCTTAACAGCCCTGAGCCTTCAATCCTTGAAGCGTTGCCTGCCCCCAGCCCCCATCCCGCCGAGGATGCCGGGGTGTGCCGAAGGTCAGGTGCTCAGATTTCCTCGCAGGGGTTGACTACCTCATCAAGAGCCAGGAACTTCCGGGCATTGTAGGTTTGGGGGGCTGGGCTCCTTGGGTCATGAGGATGTCTTGACGGTACGCCTTGGGCCTGAGAGGGTTTTTCGAAAGAGAGCATCTCGGATTCTGCACTAAAAAGGTCTTGAGTCTTGGGGTTTCCACAGTCCAGATGCAAAAGGGCTTCCAGAAAGGGTTTCGGCAACAGGGCTGCGTGTCTCAATTTCGACAAGTCCTTGCAAGAAAGTAGCCCCTTGCTTGTGACGCTAAACCACAAGCCCTGAACCCCAAACCCAATAGCCAAACAACAACGGAGGGAAAGAATGCAGAGTCCAGAGCTCCAGATCTCAGCCCTGAGCCCTTGAACCCTACGCATGCTTCAGATTTTAGCCCTAGGCCTTTGAACCCTAAGGATCCTGTCGCCGAAATTGGGGGCGAAAATAGGGACCCCTAAAGTAGACCCCCAAATAGCAGGATTCCCATAAGTAAGGCACCCCAAACATCGGAAACCCCCAAACGCGCTGAGGGTGGTGGAGCTCCTCAGCCACCATTCGCCCCACTGGCTGCACGGAGCAGTTGAGGGTCAGTCGGGTTTTTGAGGGACCTGGCCTCCGCACCCTGCACTTGTCTTGTTCACTGTGAGTTTGGGGGGTCAGGGTGAGAGAGAGAGAGAGAGAGAGAGAGAGAGAGGGAGAGAGCGAGAGAGTGAGAGAGTGAGAGAGAGAGAGGAGAGAGAGACGGACAGAGAGGGCTTAGATTGAATTGGAGCTTTGCACTGCCCTGTTACTCCCACAGGCCTTGGCGTCTCGTCTGCTTCGCATGGAAATCCCCAATCCCAAAGGAGCCCATTCATGCCCATTCCAAGCGAGTGTTGAAGAGCGAGAAAGGTCGAGGCTTGAACCGTGTGAGTACATCCCACGCCTGACCCTTTCATCCTCAAAAGTCCCACACTGCAGCGGGGCTAGACCGACCTGCACCCTAGAATCCGCATCGATCTCGGACTAGCATCCAGGGTTGACAGGCATGTCAAAGCTCATTCCGAAGCTCATTCAAAAGCCTGTGCTCCCGATCCTTCCGTAAGCCCAGGCCCCAGGTGCAGACGCCTGCGCTGCGTACTGAACCTCGGCTGGTTTTCCTTCAGAGCCTGTCAATAACCCTCAGAGCCTTCTTGTCTCTCCTAGCAACTCAGGGGTTCAGGATGAGAGTGGTTAAGATGGGGTTCGGATTTTTGGTAGTAACTAGTAGCGTCAACATGTGTATTAAGTACTCTGATGAACAGCTCATGGTTCTATAACCGAGACTATTATCCTTCTCATATCATCCTTACCTTCATTCTCAGCACTACTAATGTCCTTGTTGAGTTTGGGTCGTGGCCTCCTCGCATAGGGTTACGACCAGTTGGAAGATTCCTCTCTGAGCTGTAACGGCTCATGAGCCTCCAAGTGCTACCAGTAGGGACAAGACAAAGGCCAAGAGACCCCTGAATCCGCCGCGGCTCTGCTCAAGTGGCTAGAGTTAGTTCAAGACAACGACAGGGAGATCTTGGAGCGGCCCCGTGCCTAGGGTTTGGTGTTTAGCGGCACTGACCAAAGACAGCCCAGGTTGGTAACATTGTTACCGGCAGTGACACCCAAACGGATGCGGTGCTCGCTTGCCAGCCGGAGCCAAAGAGATGTGAGATCCGGAGTTGGGGTTGGCCTTTCGTGTCTTCGACATGTGTTCTTATTGTTGGTCTTGGGTTCGTAGGTGTGCACATAAAAGGGGGTTTCGAGTCGAGATTGCGGACTGCAGACTTTCAGGGCACTGCCAATGTTGAGCTTCAAGTGCAGGAGTGCAAGAGACGTGTTCGACAAGCAGCTCGAGTTGTCACGAGTCCGTTTGCATGTCGAGCTTGGTGTTCATCTGGTCCGACGTCCTCAATAGGTTCCAGAAGCTCAAGTTCTGCCTTCCACGGTGTCATGCGTCAGGCCCTTCCCGGCCCTGTCTACTCTTGTGACCAGCGGCTCGTTTGCAAGAAATATGGTGCGCGCCCCGTAAAGGCAAGGAAACGCAGCTGTGGCCTCTACAAAAATTCGGTAAAGGAGCTTCATGAAAGTAAGAAGATTTGCACATCCTTGGCTAAGATGTCGCAAGTTTAGGATGCCGCATGACCTTGTTCAGGTCCCAAAATGAAGATTCGAAAGGCCTGCTGTTGCCAAGCCTTGTGTGTTGACCTTACACAGCCGGCAGCACCATCGAGCGACACGCCGGCCAATTCAGTCGATGAGTCGGTTCCGATGTAGCCACTGCATCATGGTCATCCTCTCCATGGCAGAAATTTGCAAGTCATGCTGTCTCTTCTGGCTCTGCCGAGTGATAGCCGCAGCCTCAGGGCCTAGCTTCAGCTCACCACAAGCCACAAGCCCTTGCCAGGAATGCTGCTGGCTGATTTCGAACATCTGCGCCGGAACCGTTACTCAAGTTCAGCAGGTCCAATCAGCAGGTGCTTCGGCAGAAGTCTGTGGCAGCAAGGAGCCGAGAGGGACAGAAGTTCCCATTAGATGACACAGGGGTCGGCGTGCTAGGCAGGATGAACAAGAGCAGATTCTTCAGAGCATCCCCGGCAAGTGAACTGTGCATGCCTCGCTGCGGTGTTGAAGTCTAAGGCTTCTTTGGCGTGCTGGCAAATGCAGCCCGTGATGCAGAGCACGCTGTGAAGAAAGAGGCGGCTCGTAGACGACAGTAGGTGCAAACACAACTGGGGACTCTTTGGAAAGTCTTGAAGTTTATGATGTCCTAGCGTTCGCTTGTGCGAGCATGGCAGGGGCGGTATAGTCGCATGATGCTAGTGCTCCGCCATGTTTGTAAACGATATTCTCCACTTCCAGCTTCCACCCAACAAGGCATCTTAGTTCCCACAACTCGTGTCTGTTCTCGAGGTGGCCTTCGCACTGGCTAATGCCAGTGAGAAGAAGAGCATGGCGACTGGGATGGCATTGGGGGTTCAGGGAGTGTGGGGTTGTTTCAAGAGCCATTGAAATTCTTCAGCCTGACCAAGATTAAGATGAATCCAGGCCTTGGGCCTCAGGCTTCTCCTGTTTCTAAACGAAGAACCATAAACTGATGGGGTCAAGGATCAAAGGCCTTACAACCCGAGAGGTCATACAGAAAGAGCGGGATGTGGAAAGGTGAGGAACTTTGCCACGGGCCTGTACAGACACTGTAATCCCCTCCCCCTAATATTACCCCCTAATATACATTTCCCTCCATTACATTCATATTATAGTATATTGGGGTTTTTAATATTAGGGGGTGGGGGGGGGTTAATATTAGGGAGAGGGGATTACAGGCATGCTTGGCCATGCTTACGACCGCATTCGTAGGAAACAAGTGGATGGCCGCGGCCGGTGAATCATCAACCTGAAAAATCGACACATGTGAGCGGTTTGGGATGCCTGTGGGCACCAAGCCATAAGGGGAAGAGGGGATCTTCAAGTTCACTTGAGAAACTTGCAAATGTACTTTTGTCAGCCGCTCATCTATGTTCGACATATGTGCGAAGCTACTTGCTACTCCAGAGCAGGTGCCTATGGGCCGGGAAGAGTCGGGCTTCTGATTATAGCCTTCATGTGGCCACATCAGGGTAGGTGCCGTAGATGGGCTGGGCACTGCGTGCAAACCGAACCCGGCCGGAACCCTGAACCTCAGTCTCCTTGAGTTGGCTGTGCTAAGGTACAGCCGTTGGCAACTCCGGCTGTCTTGCAAGGGCAAGACTGGCCATGATGAGTGGAGATGGGACATGTAAAATCCAACCTTGTCTGTTGGGTGTATGATGGTCTATGTTTCATGAGAAGAGATGGCAAGTGTCACCGAAGTGTGGCCACATTGTGGGACTAGGCCCTTCTAGTGCATGAGTGTCCCAGCCAGCAAAGGTGGAGAGCCGGACACCTGAATCCATCTTCCTTCGAGCAAATGGGTCCCATAACCGCCGACATCTCCTTGAAGTGCTCATTTGCGGCAGTCGTTTAGGGCTTGGGGTTTAGGGTTTAAACCCTAATTAGGGTTTAGGGTTTAGGGTTTAGGGTTTAGGGTTTAGGGTGATTGTAAAGACGAGAAGGCCGGAGCACTTTTGGCACACGATTTGAAGACAGGTTGACGCTGGCTGCCTTGAAGCCATGCAGGCCATGCTGGACAGCTTGGGCCTTGGCCGAAAGTGTGCTGATGCAAGCAGCACAGGGAGCCATCAGCTCGAATGTTGAAGGCTGCTTTTGTGAAGTCTGCGCCCATGTCGTGTTTGAGGCCACGACCCGAAACTGCAGGACCTGTCCGTTGTGTTTGCCACAAACATTTGCGAGGCGCTGCTTACGTTGGCAGAATGACGGTCCGACCCGCCCGAAGCGGCAAATTCAATCCAGGAGTGACACCTTCCTGTGAGGCCGTGCAGGCTCGCAAAGCAGAAGGAGAAGAATCTGGCAGGCGCGCTCGAGCTTTCATTCCACAGCCAAGGCTCCGTGTGTCACCTGACCACAGTATTCATCCGAGATAAGACCCTAGACCTCAGTTGGAGACTAGACTAGACCTGAAAAGCCAGGTGGACGTGCTTTGAAGCAGTCCGCGGCTGGCTTGCAATTCTCCACTTGGTGTCTCCATCTCTGTCGTTTGGTGGGGTTTCCTGCAGTTCAACTAGGGGAAGCTTGGGGCGCAGCTCGAACTTGAGTGCCTGTCCTAAAAAAATAAGAAGCCCTAAACCTACAAAGCGCACACTGAGGCGGCTATTACACTGAAGAGCGCCTTGCGAACATCCGCGGTGATGGCGGTGCCGGGCACAGGCCGTCCACTAGGGCCCCCCTGCATCCCTCTGAGATCTATGCCTTTCGAGGGGGGGGGGTATTCAGGGGCCTTTCTACCTGTAACCTCGGGCTCGAGGTATGTGCCCCCGTAGCTACCCTGCCTGGATCCCCTGTGGACCGCTTGCACTCAGTTTGAGCTGGACATCCCATTTTCTTGCTCTGAGAGAGAGAGAGAGAGAGAGAGAGAGAGAGATAGAGAGAGAGAGAGAGAGATCTTGCACCTTCAAGTTTGCCAGGGAGAAGGTGGAGACACTCTTGAATCTGCAGCCCGGCTTGACTTGAAGTCGTGTTCCAGTGACTTCCCACGGATTTTGCGGCGGATGCCCCTCAATCCCAAAACACCTCACCCAAGCCAGGCGCCGCCGTGCGCATTGAACGCCATCTTCTTGCATCTTCTGCGCGCGCATATCGAACACAAGTGCAACAATACGGAATGTAATCGCACTAGGCAAAAAAAGGTGAAACCCATCATCTCTAAGCCCCACAGGCCTCTACCCCTGCGCCGTACAGCGCTTGTTGCTTCCCCAGGATTCAGGAGTTGGACGCTTCGTCCACAGCCGATGCGGAACTCCCCGGTGTCGTGGGCGAGATGCCGTGAAACGGATGGAACACTGAGCGCCACAGCCCGGTTCATGAGTTAGGTGCCCTAAACCCTAAAGCCTAAACCCTAAAACCTTGGAGGGTTTGAGGCCCCTGCCCTAAACCCCCCCTCCCCCCCCCATGCGGTGTATTCTTGAGGGTTTTGTGGGGGGTTTAGGAAGTTTCGGGTTGTCCGTCTCTAATGCAAGAAGAAAGCAGTCCTAGAAGGGTCCACCAAAGAAACGCCCATACACAGTCCGAAAGCTCTAAGGTCCGAAACTCTACGCCCTGAGCCCTACAAGCCTGCTAAAGCCCCAAACCCCCTAAGACCCGAACCCGCCAAACCCGAAACCCTAGAAGCCCCTAAGCACCCCCCCCCGCCCCCTAAACCCTAAACCCTAAACCCTAAACCCTAAACCCTAAACCCTAAACCCTAAACCCTAAACCCTAAACCCTAAACCCTAAACCCTAAACCCTAAACCCTAAACCCTAAACCCTAAACCCTAAACCCTAAACCTCAGTCTTCCCTCAGGGCACACGCGACCCGACTTGTAGGAGCCCAGGAGTTCCTAGAAATGGAGATGGGGCCACTGGGTTCAGGGGTGAGGGCCCATGAGTGTAGGACTTTAAGGCTTGATGCGCGGTTCCTGGGGTTCAGACACATGGCTTCAGAGGGTTTCCAAGATCTTCAGAATGTATTATTTCCAATTTAGGGAGTGTAGATCTTGGGGTTGGCCTCTTCATGCCAGCACCCATGATCCTGGTGCCCGTCCTAGCTGGAGGTTCATGGGTAGCTTGCACTGGGAGTAGGGTACGTATGCGCTTATGATCCATGAACCTCCAAGGGTCCTACGTGCTCCATTTAGCTCCCTTAGTGCCACTAGTCTTTTCGGGTGGTGATGCAGACGAAAAGCCACCGCTGAGCAGTCGAGCAGACAGAACTGCTGGCCGCTGAACTTGCTGGCCCCAGCATAAGGCTCAGAAGCCAAAGAAAGCGTCAGAAGTGCTTAAGACCTGTACCGGCAGCAAGTTCTATCGGATTCTATCGGATGCGTGGACTTGGCAAAATCAGAGAGCTCCACAAGTGGCCGCTCGGTGTACAGCCTGCCAGTCCCACAGTCCAAGCTACCCTAGTGAAGAGCTGTCCTCAGCATGCTTCCATCCTGCTTCGCACGCCTCCCCACAAAGAGTTCACGAATATTTGAGGGTTTTTACCGTTCTGCCCAGAACCGTGGCATCAGCTTGCCAAACCCTGTGCTGGAGGTTTTAAGTGACATGAAGTCTGTGTGCACGAACGCGATATGGGAGCCGACATGCAAGCATCCGGCTTGCTTCCAGGATGTGACATAGCTAACATAGCTCACTAGCTCGAGAGCACCTTATGAGGTTGAGACCGGAGAATTCCCAAACAACTGCTCCTGCTGGCGCCCATGTCTTGTTGCTGCTGTCAGATTCGGTCCATGACCGAATGTGAGCCATGGGCAGTATGCCTTGTACAGTCAGGCTTTGTGCCTTGGAAATTTCAGGTCTTGCGTGCAGTCCTTCCTCCTCATACTGGCCGCTTGCTCCCCAGGCAAAGGTGGGTCAGTGTACCACCATACGACCACTGAGGGAAGCAGGTGTCAGAGGGCGAAGGGCTGGAACCATGCTTGCCAAGCAAGCAGTAAGATGAAGAGTTGGCTGAGTTGGCTGCAGAGCATGATCGCCCACTTGTGCCACAAGCATGTGTGCAGGTGTGGGAGATACGATGAAATGCCATGAAAGCTTCATCAGCATTCCCTCACGTACTGAACGAAAAGCATCAGAGAATGCAGAAGAATGCGTCGCACTGCCAATGCTGTTCAAGGAATAGGACATGCTCTGCAGACTGTCTGCATTCCGAATGATCGATCCATTGCGGCCCGCGCACGCTACTTCGGGTCACCCTTCCATAGTTGTTTTCATGGGTTCCCCTACTCCCTCCCTCTATACTAGCCCGCCCTAGGTCCCCCCCATAACTAAGGCAATTTAGGGATAATTATTTTGTTTGGGCTTTCAGCTCAACGTTTGAATTCGAGGTTTGGCATTGGGGGTTTGGGTCCCGTAGGAGAGGGGGCTTGTCCACTGAGGAATAGAGGTGCTGCGTAAGGGATGTATGAAAACATGTTCTGGGCCAGAATAGTGTTGTTACGAACCCAAGCAAATATGCATATATATATTAGATATATATATATATAAATGGCATGATGGCGGTGCTGCTCTAGCTTAAGAAATGGGGCTTTCTGGATTCCCCTTTTTCATAAGGGCCCCAATAAGGTACCCCGAATTTCGGAAACCTCATATGGCCGGTATGTATGTGTGTGTGCACAATGTGACTTTGTCTGATGAGATAGGGAACTGCGGAGCCGCTTCTGAGATCACGGCGCAGAAGGACGAAGCCTGACTGCCCTGTGGTCCGGACTCCCCTGACTCCGAGACCGTGATGGACCTGAGGGGGGCGATGCCTCGTTTGACGAAGAAAGAAACAGTGGCCCGAGTTTGGAGTTTTGGGGCTTTTCCCTGAAGCCCGTGCTGCTTAGCGCATTGTAACAAATTCTCGGAGCGTAGGTCATGTGATTTTTGACCCCTAAAGCTCGACATCTAGCTAGACACGACTGCGGCTTTCGTTTCGGGCTGGAGACGAGAACCTTCATGGAGCCCTCGGCTCCTCCGTGACAGGCTCGGACCCCAAAGCGGGAAAGACTTTTCTTCGTTGGGGTATGTTCGGGTTCAATGTGGCTTCGCTTGGATTTCGGCGAGTATCTGGAGTTTGGGTTCCAGCAACCCCAATCCGCACAACTCTCCTAATCCGACCGCACACCCGCGGGACAGCGCCCGCAGGCCCCGAAAGATGGAGTTTTCACAAATTTCTCCAACCGTAGGTCACACCGAATGCTTCGAGACTCGGCTCACAGTGCCAACGGACACCCCAAGAAGCAGAACAAACATGCCCCATCATGTCCCTTAGCCGGGGCTTCCGTGCAGGTGCCATGCGGCTGCTTGGAGAAGGTGAGGTGAGCCTTCTTGTCACATGACCGTTGGCCTTGCTAGATCGATAGCTGCGAGCCAGGATAATGAGAATAGTGGACTTCCGCGCTTTTTTTCTGGCTGAAAGTTGCATTTTTGCCCTACCTTAGCTGCTCTCTTTGACCGGCTCCCTTGCCATGACGCGGGGCTGTGGCAAGGCTGCAGTGGCAGCCGCCGGTGCCACAGCGCTGGCAGCCTCTAGCCAATTGTCGGCTTTTGCTGTGCCACGTGCTTCCGACGTCTCAGCGCCAGCGTCGCTCCGCACAGCAGGCGCCACCAGCGCACGGCAGCAAGCGCAAGCCTCCCATGGAGGGGTTGTGGGCATCACCGGCGCAGCCTTTGCGGCAGCTGGCTTCGCAGCCTCCCGCCGTCGTGGCGTGGGCTCTGCTGCCCTCACCCGCGCCAAGGACAGCCGAGTCGCTTGCGCGGCAGCGGGGGGCAAGAAGCGTTGCTTGGTCATGGGCGGCACCCGCTTCATTGGCTGCTACCTAGTGGCCAAGCTCAGAGAGCAGGGCCACGACGTCGTGGTTTCTTGGCCTTTCCTGTGCAGTTTTTCCAGCAACAACGAAGTTTCTTGTAAATCTGCGACGTGTCTACTATGCACTAGAATTGCCCAAGCCCAAAATAGCAGCCTTGAGCCGAGTTGTGCAACCGCGGCAAGACGAATGGTGGTAAGCCAGAACGCCTTCCGGGCGTAAGCGACATGGACTACCAGAAGATGCTCGAGGGCCTCTCTTGCTGAGCCAGCCCGTCCTTCATCTTTTTTGTTTTGGGACCCTGCTAGGGGGGCATGCAGCCCGAAAGCCTTAACTTGCGCCTCAACCCTCAACCAACCCTCAACCATCCCTCAAACATCCCTCAACAGCAACCATCCCTCAACCCCAATCGCCCCCCCTCCCCCCCCCGGCCAAGTTTCCGGAGTGCCTAGGTGTGTCTGTGCTCGTCGCAGATCGCAAAGTGCCCGAGCAGCTCAAGGCTGCCGTGACTGGAGCGGGCAAGTTTGACCTTGTCTTTGACAACAACGCGCCTTGGGATGAAGCTTGAAGGCCCTTTTCAGGTCTTTCCAGAGATTGTGCGGCATTTTTGAGGCATGGTCTAGGACCCCATGTCTTCTCACTCAGCCTTAGTTCCTCGGGAACGGCTCCTTCTGCTTTGTTTTTTTTTTTGGGGGGGGGGGGGGGGGATACCATGCAGTTACCGATTATACGATGGGCCTCTTTGGGTACCCGGATGTCCGGCGCCCAGGTCCGCAAGCTGGCGGAGGTCCAGCCACTGGTAGAGGCCGTGCAGGCCAGCGGCGGATGCGAACAGCGCCTGGGTCCGACAGTGCCCGTTTATAAGGTTTCGGCAAGAGGGCTTCGGGGTTGAAGATGTAGGCTGTTGCTGAGAACCCTCACTCCCCCACGCCTTGTTAATCTGGGACAAAGAATGCCGAGAGATACACGTCAGCTACAGCAGGTGCAGGGTTTAGGGAGGAGGTGCCCCAAGGGTGGCCCCCGCATTCTTTTGAGGCCAGGGCACCACTGGCCCCAACACGTAAGAGCCGGTTCCGCCCTAAGCCCCGAACCCTTGTTGAGTCTGGCAGCTCCCTGACGTTTGCTGTGAGGCCTCGGGGGTCACGAGCGAGAGAGAGAAAGAGAGCGAGAGAGAGAGAGAGAGAGAGAGAGAAACCCTGCAAGGCACGCCTTCGGGCGGGGAGGCGTTAGGTGCACAGAGAAGAAGAAAAAGAAAGAGAGACACAGAAAAGGAAAGAAAATAATTAAACAAGAACAAAAAAAGAAACACGAAAGAATAAAAAAAAAGAAACAGAAAAACACAAAAAAATAAATAAACAAAGAAAGAAAGGCATAAAGAAATAAATCAAAAAAGATACAAAGAAACAAAGAAGCAACACAACCCCAATACCCTTATCCCACGTTTTTCCCGGATCGTCGTTGAAGTTCTACGAAGTGGGACTCCGCAGTGTTGCCCCTGTGGTACCAACAAAAATATCCTACTCTTCCCATGTTGCTGCATCCTTAACACCCCATTTCAAGTTTGCCCCTTGATTTTCGTGATTTTCTGTGCGGTGGGATCCCTGGTGACGGTTCCATGAGGCTTTTGGAGCCACCTTGGCGTGGAGTGGGGTGGGGTGCAGGAGCAGTTTGGACAACAAGGGGTGCAAGTTTCAAACCCCGATATTCAATCAGATTTGCTGCGCGCTTGCCTTGGCATGCACTATGTCTGCCGCCCACACCTCCTGGATGAGTTCGGGTTGGGGCATGATTTTGTTTATTCCACCGCGTGGCCCTACACCCTACCCAGTCCGACGCTCAACTATTGCATAAGTGGACCTGCCATAAGTCGGAAGCTGAACCGCTCCGAGATTTCGCCCAAAGTTGGTAGCAAGGCCGGTTTACATGTATAGATACCTTCCCTACGCGAATGCTACCCAGGAACCTCCAAGTAATCTCCCACCTTGCTTTTGCCCAGGTTCTTCCTCATGAGCTCAGCCGGCGTTTACGGGCCAACCGACGTCCTCCCGCAGCGCGGGCTGCGCTAGTAGGGTGTAGGGTGAAGGAACAGGAATTCTGTAGGTCACAAGGTTTCCCGACAGCTGTGATGCCCAGGCTGAGTGAGCAGAATCCAGGTGATCCCAACTCGCGTCACAAGGCGCAGTGGTGGAGGGAAGTTGATTGAGTCCGGAGGTGGGTTCAAGAGGGTTGCGGAATAATGACCCCGAATCAAATGCATCCAGGCGGATGGCCGATGCAACATTGTAAAGCCTTGGCGCACCGGACATGAGTTGAGTGTTATCCAGACTGACTGAGGCTGGTCGCGACCCCAAACCACGCGAAGCGGGCGTCTGCTTCAAATCGACACCAGCACCACAAATGCCGCGACACTTGCCCCGCTCAGCACGCTACTAATTTCCGGGCGTGTTAAACGTAAACGCTTGGACCCACGTAGCAAACATTCGATATGCGCCACAGCTCAAGGCTCCACCTTCAGGGCTCGACGCTAAAGACCAACCCTGAAATCCTAAACCCCAAAAGCTTCAAAAACCTCTCCCAAGCGCCCCAAACCCCAAACAAAACCCAAACACCCCGATCTTGGCCCTTATCACTGGCAGAGCCTTCAGAAGCTTTTTCTTGCGGAGCCTTCTATACCAGCGTGCCCGAAGTGCCCTTTTAAGCCCTGAAAGCCTCCAAAACACCCCAAACCCAGCAAAGCCGCAGGATAGTCTTTGTTGCCAGTTGTCTCCAGCGTAGACCCCTAGCAGTGACAGACCACATGGGGACACGAAGGGCTGCTCGGCCACGAAAGATTGACTTTGATGCCAGACCTCCTCCGCGTAGTGCCTGGACCTTTGTACTGCAACAGTCAACTTTCGAGCCACCAGAGCTCCGGATGTCCTCCAAAAAAACACCAAAGCGCAGTTCGCATATCGAAAACCCCGACTTCAAAAGTTCGCGAACCCGAAGTCAAAAAGCAACGACAGTTTCAAGACTTCGCGAACCCAGACGTCCAAAAGCGACGACAGTTATGAAGATGGTGATGTCGATGCGAACTGCCATAGGCGGGAGCGCGATTTCCAACGTCCCGAAATGCAAAGACGCCCAAAAGCGACGACAGTTTCGCATTTGGCGAACCCCAACGTCCAAAAGCGATGACAGTTTGGCAATCTTTGGCAATTGGCGAACGCCGACATCCAGAAGAGACGATGCCTGCCACGATTTCGGGATGCATATCGATGCAAGCCACGAAAAACGCACGGGGCCAGGCGAGAGCACAATTTCCATAAACACCACGAAATGTGCACGAAGCCAACAGCATGTAATTTGCGATGTTTCGAGGCCCCGAGAAGTCGGGACGTCACCCGCGCTGGTAAAAGTACGATTTGCATCCAAAATGCGGCCGTCTCCTTTACTCTGGACGTAAGAACCCCATGGTGTTGGGGAACTTCGTGCTATCAGAATATAACCATCTATGGCAATCTAGAGTACAACAATTCCTGAGCTGAGCAGGAGAAGCTGCAATGCGAGAATTACTTGGACGCCCAGGGCCTGAACTGGACGTCTATCCGACCAGCACCTCGGGATAACGAGTGCTTTTTGCGATCTAGGGGATGATGTGATGTTTAGCTCGATGCAGATGCGGGGGGCATGCGACTGTGTTGTGAGTGGTTGCTCCCAAGAACTGTCCACGTTTTGAAGCCATAGGAGGTGTGTTTTTTATTGTTTCCCTTCCAAGTCACCAGTCACCTGCTAAACCCTGTGGTGCGGTTCGTCCAGCTATGCGGCGGGAGCGAAACAGAAACCCTAACTCCTAAACCCTACACTCTCTTTCAAAAGGCCCTAAACCCTCATGAAGGTCTACATCCTCTTTTTAAAAGGACCCTAAGACTCATGAAGGTCTACATCTACGGCCCTTTGAACTACAACCCGGTGGAGCGCTACTTCTTCGACCGCGTGAGCCGTGGGCGCCCGGTTCCTCTTCTGCAGCGATAGGGGGGCTTCATTGTTAAGGAGCTTGAATTCAATCGCCACAAATGGGCTTAAAAACAATGGGCCTATAAAATATGCTTTGCTACACTTATTCCGGTAGCTGAATTTTACGTCCCTTAGCAAGAGCCCAGGGCAGGGGCCTTCCTTCAAGCCTCACGGCTCAGTAGCCTGTAGCAGGGCCAGCGCCCTCTCTATCATTGTGCCTGGCAGAGTTTGTACTGCCGAGTGGTAAATGTGGTTCTCGAATGCGCGCGATACCTCAACTTGGGTGATTCGCCCGCACTGTCGCCTGCAAGGAGGTGGGTTTTTGTATCCAGTTGCTGTTTGTACAATCGTCTCAGCATCTCCTCACGTTTTCCTTTCACCGAGGTCTGCGTTCCCTATGATGGGAAATACATCACGCAGTTGGGTGCCTTGCTGTCAATGGGTTTGTAATTTTGAGAATCGCACAGCAGGTTTTGCAATTGCATCTATGTTTGTGGATCCTGCGTTGTGTCAGCAGCATGCTACAAGGCAACGCCTGCGACAGGCATGGAAGCTTTTAAGTGCAAGACGGGGAAGTGGTTCAACTTGAGCATGCCCAGCTGTGCCACCAAGGTCACTGTGAAGACCTTGCTGACTTCATGATTAAATGCATCGGCAATCCAGCAGTGCGCGGGCAAGCCAATGGTCAGCAATCAAACTGCAGCTGCACTCGGGGTGAGGGCTGCGGTGCGTGGATTGTAGTATCATGGGCGTGGTAACCCCCCCCGCCACACCACCCCCAGCAAATTTCCCAGGCAACCTCTTGCTGGGCTACCTTTTAAGACCAACAGGTGAGGCCGAATTAATGCTAAATAACCATAATTAAGCTTAATTAAGGATAATTAGGCATAATTAGCTCAAAGGACGAGCAACAGCAATCTATGCTTTGAACTTGTTGAGCACACCTTAACTAAGCTCAATTAAGGCTGGACTTTTCGGAGTTCAGATTTTAGGGATTTGCGGACTCAAAAATAGCTCTGTGCATGATCTGGTCTCGAACACGATGTGCACCTGCGGGCAGGTGCGATGGTGTCCAAAATACATGTATTTTGCACACGTAAAACTTTGGGCCGGGCGGGGTGGGGGCAGCGGCGGGTTGAGAAGGGGGGGGCGCGTTGGGCGGGGGGGTGTTGGCGGGGACGGGTTGGGAGGCAAAAGGGGAGGGGCGGGGAGGGGGGTTGGGGGTACCTAAAAACATCACCCCAGGTGTTTCGGGGTACCCCCCCCAAATTTCCCGCACCCTTGTCCCAGTCCGCCCGCCGTGCGCCTGCCATTCTATTTCGACTCTTTTTTGCAAACAACACCGAGTTACTGACAACGAGAACCGGCCTGTCAGGTCTTCTGCCGACGCAAGGTTTCTGGCCCCAGCCCAAACAGCAACAGCCGACACTACGGCTTCAGCAACAAAAACTTTATCACGACTGTTCGTCATGAGAAGCGTTGAGGCTACACCGCCTTTCCCAGAAGCTTCAGTGAGCACATGACATCCATGTGGACAGAAAGCCTCGGGAAAATTGGGGGAGGTGGTGTAGAGGGGGGGTTCGGACTCCCCTGATAGTAATCATGGATGATACTTAGTAGTAGTTCAACGTTGAGAACATGATTTCAAGATACTGTGCACTAAGGTCTACAATGTCTCCAGCGAGGAGTATGTGACCTTTGATGGAATGGCGAAGCTGTGCGCAGAAGCCGCCGGCGTGGCGGAGCCCAAGATCGTCCACTACGACCCCAAGTCTGTGGAAGTGCCAGAAGGATACCCTGCAGGGTGGAGGGCTTGATTTGACAGGGCCAGTTGAGCCCCCAAACCCTCGACCCAAGCGGCTGCTGGGAAGCAGAAGGGCAGGGCCACTACAAAGCGAGAGCGACTGAACAAACTTTTTGTATAGTATTTTAGGATTTAGGGTCCAAAGGGCGAGTGCGCAAACTGAACTGGCCCTAGTGCCTGGAAAGATAGATGTTGCGGTCGTAGGTTATCGTAGGTCCATCCCGATGGGTACCTTTTCGAGCTACAATCACAACTTCTTTCTGCCAGCAGATTGGTGTCAGCTCAAGAAACGGTACTGGCGCGCAGAATTCTTTGGGCCCAATTAGAACCAAAACATGTCAAAACTCAGACAGCTGGCCAGGATTTCCCAAGGCGTTCCCTTTCCGCGGCATGCACTTCTTCGCGTCGATTGAGCAGCTGGGTCATGGTTTGCTTTGAGGTCCGCGCGCTAGAGTGTGTAAGTTGCCCCTCATTCCGATAGCTTCAAACTCCGCAGCCAGTACTCTCAGCGATGATTCCTGGATTTAGGCACATTATCCTGAACCCTACACCCGAAATGCCCTGCCCAGCCCAGGAAAGCAAAGCAGGATGTGCCTGATTGGGCCCCGAAGTACACCATGCTCGAGGGCTTGAGGACGGCTGTTGGTTTGTTGTGGGGGTGGGGTAGGTTGGGATAGGATGAGTTGTCCCGCAGGAGGTCCCCCAAATATTCAAACTCCCCAGCGTGCTCGTAGCCCCTGAGTGCATGATAAGATTTCCATCTTGGGGCGGGGGGGGTTGCAAGCACTAGGGAAACTTTCAAGTCGAACCCCCACACAGACACACTAATCAGGACGTGCTTGCATCACGGTGGCCCGTGGCTGTTGCCTGCTTTCCGGGTTCAGTTTCGAGGTCTTGCCTAAACGAATCGAGTCCAGGGGCGGAAGGCTGCGTGTCGTGGCGAGGGGTGTCGGGTGTTTTAAGTCAAGCCCTGAGGCCCTAAGCCCTGAAACTTCAAGCAGTGCAGAGGAGTAGTTTCCAGCAAGACTACCTCGCGCGCGGCTTCGACAAGCAGCAACCTGACCCCTGGCAAAACAGATCAGGGACCAATGAAAGGGTGTCGGGGTTTCGGGGGATGTGTTGTTAAAACAAAAACAATAATTGCAATAGCAATAATAGTAGTAACAATAATGAGACAGATTTGTGTACATATACAAAGAAAATACAATATACATTTCATAAATAAATACATAAATAGAAAAACAAACAAATAAACATAAACATATATATAGAGAGATAATTGTATTTTGCTCACAGGACTTCCGGACAGACGAGCTCATCCTTTCCAAGGCGATGTCGGCAGCGTGAATTTCTCCAGCCAAGCGGTGGACGTAGCCAAGCAGCCCTGCAATGCTCTTCGCACAGCAGACCCCCTGCGGAATGCAGGGAGCCTACAACCCAACAAGCCCTTCCTGCAAATCCAACCCTGCAAAATCAGTAGCTTATAGCTTGCCAACCCCAAATTGCAAGACATAACCCTGCCCGAAGTAGTGGGCACTTGGTATAAACCCTACTCTAGTTCACTGTTTTCTCCAAGCGTGGGCTGATGGTCGTCGGGCTATGATTTTCAAAGCCCGTTTGGACTCTTTTGGACAAAGCTGTGGATGCTGAGATCCCTAATTCGACTTCCATTCCGTATTTACTCTTTACATAAACACAAACAAACACAGACATATGTAAACATATATATATATATATATATATATATATATATGTAAAGAAACAAAGTAAGCACCACAGGTTTAGATCCCGTTACAAGGGACGCCGTTCAATAAGGATCTCTCCATCTCTGTGAGACCAAGACCATTCGAGGAAGCGTGCAAAATGAGTGTTGCGACCGAGACATATGGCGAACATAGGGCCGCTTGTTTTTTGCGCATCCGACGATCAGGACCTTCGTCTTTTGGGGTATACCTATTTTGGGAAACGCCCAAATCGCATATGGGGGTTGTTCGCTGAGTTAGCTTGAATGGGTGGAAATGGAAACAATCCAAACCAGTGCAAAGAAGCTCTAGCAACACTCGCACAGAACATCTCGCCCCGGCCCATCACAGCCCAGTCCATCACCTTGACCAGGCCGGTCACTGGCATGATGCGAGGCCTTCAGATGCATCCCTTGTCGACCACGCAGAAAAGATACATGCTTCATTGCAGATGCAGTTACATTGGCGATGTCATTGTTTCGCATCAACCCGCACTTCCGAGCCCTCGTTCGGATAGGAATTGCGCATGCTCAGGTCATGCTACCATGTTCTGGAGACCCCAAATCTAGGTCAACTCCCATATCCTACGGTGCATGCACTTGCTGACCTGCTCTTGCAGTTTACAGCTGTCCGTGCCATAGCAGGTAGTATTTCAATCGAGCCGCCAGTCACAGCCACTCACAGGGCTTCTCAAAGCGACTGCAAAGTCTCATGAGGGTTGTGCCTTGTCTGTTGCTGATGGCGCTTCAATCCCCCTAAGCCTGCACGGACCTACAACCCAAAGAAGCGTGTCACGCTGGCATACATGAGCAACAATTGCGTGACGAAACCAAAGCAAGATAAAGCAAGCCAAGAACTTAGTGGAAAGCAGCCGTAGCTGCCCTCACACGTCGCGTGCGCCGCATCGAGCATGAAGCGGGGCCATCCCGCGCCGTCGGAACCTGAAGGCGATGCCTGTTGGTCACTGTTCGAGGACTCGGCTGCTGAAGATGGTCGGGAGGAGCCTGAAGGTGTCGGAGGTGTTCGAGCTTGTGAGCACCCCTACTTCACAGGGCGCACCTTTCCCAAGGAGTCTTTGCAAGAAGCCTTGGATGAATACGCACCGACAGCCTGTGACTTTCTGACCATGGCGGGGGTGCATGGCCGGTCAACTGCAGCCTTCTTGCACAAGGCAGCTGCACGGTTTCGCGCGGATGACCACCAGGGCTGCACTGAGGCTGCACGCGTTGCCGCGGCAGGGGCTTGGCAGCTCCTGCAGGAGGCAGCTCCATCGGAGGCCATTCTGCACGCGCACGCGCTGTCTCACGCCATGCTGGCTGCGACTCTCCCTGACCCACTAGAAGCGATGCGGCATGCAGATCTGGCTCTCTTGCTTTGCCCAGACCTGTCCATCGGGGCTCTGCACACCCTGGCGCAGCAGTGCAACCTCCGCTGCCAGGCCAAAGCAGCGAAAGGTCCTCGCGAGGATCTGCAGACGTGGCAGGTCCCAGCAGTGTTGGACCCACGCAGCCCGAAGGTGCCACGAATGTCGCACCCCATCGAGCGTGTGGGTTGCCACAACCTCTCGATCATGTCCTTCCGGGAGTGCCTGCAAATCCCCACTTAGTGAAATTTCCTTCGTCTGTGTTTTTTTTGGGGTGGGGGGGGGGGGGTTGGGATGGGCTAGGATGAATACCGGGTGCGATACTTGTGGCTAGTCATTCAGGACCCATGAGAACAGCCTTTTGAAGAAGTAGCGCTAAAGCCTCGAACCCGGAACCCGGAACCCGGAACCCTAAATCCTAAACACTAAACCCTAAACCCGAAACCCGAAACCCTAAACCCTAGACCCTAAACCCTAAACCGTAAGGTCAGCTAAGCGGGTGGCGAAACCCTAAACCCTACAGACTCTACAAACCCAGGCGGATGCTGAAGCCGGCCTGCCCAGCAGTGGTGGAGGGGCACCTGTCTCAGGCTCAATGGACGTCCCAAGGCTGGTCTGATCTCAGGCTGCCAGGCCCGCGATGTTTTGGTTCGGTTTAGGGTTTAGGGTTTAGGGTTTAGGGTTTAGGGTTTAGGGTTTAGGGTTTAGGGTTTAGGGTTTAGGGTTTAGGGTTTAGGGTCTAGGGTTTAGGGTTTAGGGTTTAGGCTTTAGGCTTTAGGCTTTAGGGTTTAGGGTTTAGGGTTTAGGGCTTAGGGTTTAGGATTCAAAGGTCAAAGGGTTTAGGCTTTAGGGTTTCCGAAATCGGGGGTACCTTTTTGGCATCCTTATGAAAAGGGAATCCTACTATTTGCGGGGGGTATTTTAGGAGGTCTCCTGTTTTTGTAAACTATCGTGTGTTTCAGGGGTTCGCGAGGCTCAACATAAAGTCTCACATGCAGGGCGACCCGGGCCAAGCCCCCAGTTGCAGGGAGTCGAGCCGAGGTTCTGGGCTGTGCATCATGGGCACCGCACGATACCCATCGAAATGGGCGCTTCAGAAGACGATGCAGCAAGCGTGGCGCTGCAGCAGTCGACGGTGTCAGAAGGAGCTTGGTCGAAAGTCGCGAATGTGTTGGTGCCTGTACGCACTTCTGCCAGCTGTACCTCTCCTGTCGAGTGCCAAGTATGAGTCGACAGGTTCCCACCCTTACTTTGCTTTTTTTGTCAGTTGCAGGAAGCCTCACCGTCTCGGACTTTGTGAAGCAGTTCCTCTTACCCTCGAATGAGTCCTGCCAACGCGCACCAGAAGAGTGGCCCAGCGAGTCTATCGACGAGTGGTCGGTATCACAGGTGGAGGCCTTAGCGGTCAGAACCAGACCCGGAAGCGCGTGACACGCGAAGAACTTGCGGCCAAGTGAGCTGTAGTTGAGCTTGATCATGTCATGTCTTGCTTAGGCTGCATCGATAGCGCCTTCTTCAACCCAGTCGAAGCTCAAGCTCTAAACCCTCAACCCCTCAAGCCTCGCCCTTTTCTTCAGGGCTCAGAGTCTTATTTCAAACCTTTTAAACGATAGCCGTGGAGCGCTTCGGCCCTTGAGTGGCAAAGAAGTGTTGGGATCTCTGAGCACGGGGGTGAACGCCGAGAGACCCAACGGTCGCAGAGTGCCCAAGACATCGGCGATGTTCGCCATGCCAAGCGCACGATAATGCAACACCGCAAGAACGCGATAATGCAACAATACAATCAGACAAGAATAAAAGAATGCCGTAATAGTACCATGATGCAATCATACAATCATACAATATTACACTAGTGCAGAAATATATATTGATATCGTAATATACGAATGTGTGAAACTTCTTTCCCTAGCACGCAAAGTCGGCTGTAACAACAGCATGTCCTAATGTGTCCATTGGTAGCCCAATTGGCTTCAAAACTGCCACCCTAGCCCCTAAACCCTAATTAAACCCTCTACCCTATACCCTAAACCCTAAACCTTGACCTGAACCTGGGCTATTGTTTGCTCTGACCTTTTCCCGTAAACGCATGCGAAACAGGTGGGAAAAGACCCCTAAACCCTAAACCCTATTCCCTTCGGGGATCATCCGATAAAATTGGAACGATTCAGAGAAGATTAGCATGGCCCCTGCGCAAGGATGACACGCACAAATCGAGA